CCCCCCCCCCGGCCTCGGCCTGGGCCCGCACGCGGATGTCGTACAACGCGTGCGCACACACACATGCGCGGGGCGCGTACGCGCGCGCGCAAAAAAAAAACCCACAACCACCCGCGCACGCACGCATGTAGATGCTCGTGGTATTCCCCCACCTGCTGGTGGGCTACCGAAGGGTGTTCGATGTGGCCGCGCGCAAGGCCTTCGTCACCCTCATCAGCACGGTGGCCGTGCACTTCCCCGGGCATGCCCTGTGGAAGATGATCGGCCTGCCGGCGATGGCCCCCTGGCGGCCGACCCTCCTGTCCCAGACGCTGGAGCTGGCCCGAAGCGTGGAATTGAGCGCCGGCGGCCGGGCCGGCACGCGGCGTGCGGCGGCCCCCCCGCCGGCCCCGGGCTCCCCGGCCTCCAGCCAGGACATCGAGTCCACCATCCGGCAGATCCTCCTGCTGTCGGACTTCCTGGAGGCGCACACGGCCTCCGACCCGAAGGACCGGGCCCCCGGCATGGCGACCACCCTGCCGGGGGTGCCGACCCGCGGGCCGGTCGTGAACAATGTCACCGTCCCGGTGCGGGCCTTCATCCAGGCCTCCTTCGATGCGGCGGACCCGGCGGCCGCCGCGCACTTCGGCCTCGGCATCGACCCGCACATCGGCTTCCTGGGGCTGAGCCAGCACCATGCCGGGCCGGAGGCCGGGCACTTTGGCCGCGCGGCCGCCGCCCATGCCACCCGCGCCCCGACCATTTCCGGTGCGTCCGCCCCCGGCCCGCCTCCCCATGGCCCGACTGCGATGCGGGTCCCAGACACTGACCGCCCCCTCCGTCGCCGCCGCCGCCGCCGATCCCAGCGATTCTCCCCTCGATTGAGGTGCTCAAGTCGCTGCAGCGCCCGGTGCGCCGGAACCTCGAGGGCACCGACGGCCGGGTGTACTCGGTGCTGATCAAGTGCGAGCATGGCGAAGTCCGGCGCGATGTCGGGGCCAACTCCGTGCATGACGTGGTGAACTCCCTGCTGGCCGGGCAGGACCGGCACAGCCTCCTCCACTCGGCCGGCACCGGGGGGCAGGGCCCATGTGCCGGGCCGGCGGCCGGCGCATGTGCCACACTGCGCCCCTCCACCGACCCCCTCGGTGGCCAGTGCACCTGCCCGGCCGGCACCCGGATCCGCACCTTCGCCGTGACGCCCCTCAGTGCCAATGTCGCCATCTTCGAGTGGATCGACAAGACCAGCACCATCATGAAGGAGATCGAGTCGATCGTCACTTCGCCGGCCAGCTGGTCCATGCTGTCGCGGCCGAAGCCGGTGCGCAAGTGTCCCGGCCCCCTGCCTGTTGTTTTTTTTTTGTTTTTTTTTTGGCTTGACTCCCCATGTCCGGCGCGGGCCCGGGCCCGGGCCCGGGCCGCCTGCTGCCTCTTTCTTTGCCCCTCCTCACACCCTGTCCCCTGTGGACCTTTTCCCCGGCACCCCTCACCCCCGCGGCCCTCCCCATCGGCAGTCTGCCCTGAAGACCGTGCACAACTTCGAGGAGCTGAGCCACATCGATGTTCCCTTCCACCGGTGGTTTGCGGCCCGCAGCCCGACCGCGCGCGCGTGGCTCCTCGCCCGCCGGCGCTTCTCCTCCTCGCTGGCCGTGATGTCGGTGGTGGGCTTCCTGCTGGGGTATGTATCGACGCAGGCGCATGGTGTCCCGCCGGGCACCGGTGCCTGTTGGCCCATTTTACCTTGGCCCTCCCTTCTTTGGCCGCCTGTCTGCTTGCTTGAGCCCACCTCCTGACCATAACCCCGCGGGCCGTGTGTCCGGCATTCCCGACAGCCTGGGCGACCGGCACCTGGACAACATCCTCATCGACACGGAGTCCTTCCAGGTGGTGCATGTGGACTTCAACTGCATCTTCGAGAAGGTGCGCGCCCGGCGCAACGTGTTCCCCACCTGCTGGGGCGTGTGACGCGCACACACACGCGCACACACACGCGCACACACACACACACACACACACACACACACACGCACGCACATCCGCGGCAGGAGGAAGAGGGCCCGCCATCGGGCCTTTCGCTTTCTAACACGCACACACACACACACACACACGCAGGGCCTCTTCCTGCAGGTGCCGGAGACGGTCCCCTTCCGCCTGACTCGGGCTCTTCTCGACGCGCTGGGGGTCATTTCACTGGGGCCGCTGGACCGGCGGGCTCTCGACAGCACCCAGGCGCGCCGGCAATCGGCCAGTGCCCTGCTGGCCCGTGGCAAGTCCATCACCCGATCCGTGTCGGGCGGCTCCGGCGCCGGGCCCCTGGCCCCCGTGGCCACCGGGCTGCTGTACTCCGACGAGGAGGAGGACCTGCTGCTGGGCCCCCCGGTCGGGGGGTCCGGCGGGTCGTCCGACCTCGGCGGATCGATCGTCATCGCCGATGGCCCGGCCGGCCGGTCGGTCCTGCGTGCGGCGCCCGGGCCCGGGGCCACCAGCCCGGCCGCCACCGTCAAGCCCCTGGGCCCTGCGCGGGTGGAAGCCCTGGAGGACGCCATCCTGGCCACCAACGTGGCGGCCAGCCACTTTGGCCGGGTGTGTGCCACGGTGCTGGGGGTCCTGCGCCAGCAGGCGCACATGCTGGATGGTGTGCTGGAAATCGTGTGCCCGGATGTGCTGGAGGTGCGTGGCCATGGTTCCGGCTGCGCCGCCGTCTTTGCCCGTGGCCCTGCGGGCATTTGCCCCGCCGCTGACACTCCTTTGCTCTTGTTCTGCTTCGCCCATCCCCCCCCCTTCCCCCGGGCGCCGCTGCCCCGCGTGCCTTGCTGCTCTTGGCGACATCTGCCGTGGCGGATGGGCCGGGCGGGCTTCTTCGGCCGCAGCCCAATGAGCTCAGCATGCCGCTGCTGCACACGGTCCTCGGGCGCATCCGCGTCAAGCTGGCCGGCCGGCTGGCCTGCATGCGGGTGTCCCAGCGCGCGGACCAGGGCGGCACTCGCCTCGACGAGAGCCTCAACCCCCTGCGGAGCATCGACCGGCAGGCGGCGCGCTTCGATGCGGAGCGCCGCGCGGCCGCTCGGCGCTTCGAGCTCCCGGAGGAGCTGGCCGTCGAGCAGCAGGTGTACGAGCTCCTGTCCGAGGCCACGGCCCGGGCCAATCTCCGGCTCATGTTCTATGGCTGGCGCTCGTACCTGTGAGGGGCCGGGCCCCTCCGCTTGCCCGGCTGCCCTGTGCCAATACACCCCTGCTTCTCTGGGCGTCTCGCGTGTGACTGGCGGCACCGGCTGTGGGGATCTGTGCCAGTGTGTGTGTGTGTGTGTGTGTGTGTGTGTGTGTGTGTGTGTGTGTGTGTGTGTGTCCGTGTGTGTCCGTGTGTGTCCGTGTGCGGCCGGAAAAGAAAAAAAGAAACACGCATACAAGCACGAGCCCATAGCCCCCCCCCTGCCCCCCCTGCCCCCCACACAGCCACGGGAGGCACCTTGCCGCGTGGGGAAATCAACACACAGCACATGCATGGCACGGGCATCTATTGGCACATTTCCCCCCGCCCATACGCGCGGCACTCAGGGCCGGCGTCGGTAGAGGGCCACAAGGCGCGGGATGTGACCATAGTCGATGACGATGCCCGGGCCGGCGGCCGCGACCATGGCCGCCCCGCCGCCGAAGGCCCCGGCCCCGGCCAGCATGCCGACCCCGGGGACCGGGGCCAGGCTCGGATCGGCCGCGAGCAGGATGTCCCGCGCGGTGGCGGCCTGGCCCTCGCCGATCTCCAGCAGCAGGACCCCGGCCCCGGCGCGGTGGATGTCCGCCAGCGTGGCCGCCGGAGGGAGGGCCCTGCGCGGAGGGGCCAGCCACCGGCCCGGCCGCGCGGCCGCAATGCGCCGGACCGCATCCAGGCCATCATCGTCATGGGCATCGTTCTCCGCCGGTGCCTCCGGCACCGGGGCCGCCCGGCCCGGGAGCGGGTTGGGAAACAGGGCCGACGCCGGCTCATGGCGCCAGACCGATGCCTGCACCCGGCCGGTGGCGATGTCCCCCGGGGGGATGTACGGCGGGTTGCACAGGAGCAGGTCGTACCCCGGGCTCGGGGGGCTGCCAGCTGGGCCGGCACCCAGGCGAGCCAGCCAATCCGACTGGAGGAAGGTGCACCGGTGGCCGAGCCCCAGGCGGAAGGCATTTCGCCGGGCCACGGCCAGGGCCCCGGCCGACAGGTCCACCCCCGTGCCGAGGACCGCCGGGCCCAGGGCATGGGAGGTGTCGGGCCCGGCGGCGTGCGACCCGGCCAGGGCCTCCCGGCGCCGACCGGAGATGGCCCGCTCGGCCTCCAGCATGGTACTCAGCAGGAGACAGCCGCTGCCGACGCCGAGCTCGAGCACGCGCGCCGGGCACCGGCGGAAGGCGTCCAGGCGCTCCGGCGCGACGAGCAGCCGCGCGGCCGCCTCGACAAACTGGGTGCCGGGACACCGGGTCGAGGCGGGTGCAGGCCGAGACGGCCGGGAGAGGGGGCAAGCAGGG